CTTTGAAATCTGGCCTAATGCAAGACACTCAAATTACATGTTCATGTATTGCATTTTTCAAAGGTACATATATTATATGAGGGTTTTTGTGCCTATGCACCTTGTCTGTTATATTCCAAAACTTGGGGCATCTGGTTGGCTCAGTCGGTAGAACATGCGACTCTTGATCTCATGAGTTCAAGCTCCACGTTGGATGTAGAGATTACTTAAATAAATCTTAGGGAAAAAAAGAATCCAAAACTTAACTCCAATTTGTCTCAGTGTAAACAAAGCTCCACTTGAAAAATTGGTTTATGAAACTCTCAGAATCACTTTCTTTTCTATAAATGTGTTGTAGGTTCTAGTAATGATGGAGTTACACGATCTGAATCACACCCTGCACAGTGGAGAGCAGATTATGTATGAGGTTAAGAGAGGAGGGAGGGAGGCCAGAAGGAGGCTACTGCAATAGTCGTGGTGAATGTTGGTGAACCAGAGTAGTGGCTGTAGAGGTGGGAGAAGTGGTTGGTTTCTGGGTCCATGTTATGATTTATTGTTTATTTATTTATTTCACACAATTGGAAAGGAAGAAGGAGAGAGAATGGGTCTATTTTTAAAGAAAGGCCAAGTAGACATTTTGATGATGTAGGTGAGGGAGAAAAGGGAGGAGTCAGAAAAGACCTTAGGGTTTTTGGTCCTAGCAGCTGAAACAATGGAAGCTCCATCAACTAGGATGAAGTTGGTGGAAGATTAATTTTTATTGGGACTATCGGGTTTTGTTTGGCTCTGTTAAGAGTCTATGATATTTCATAGAATGCTAAGTGAGGTCACCAAGTGGGCAGTTGGACACACAGGACTAAAAATATGGGGAGCAGTTCAAGAGGGAGACATCCAAAAGTGGTGAACCTGAGTGGAGCTTTGGATCACATGTAGGGGGGGAAATTTATGTTATGATGGTGATACTCTTATTTTTATGGTGGTGATGCTCTTAATAGGTTAGGAAGATGGTACCCAGGATTGGGCACCATGGTTGAGTGTGGAGGGCACAAAGGTGAGGAGAGGATGGTCTGGCAGGTGACCAAGGCTTCCCTGGGATGAGTAGATATGAGATGGATATGAGGACAGAATAGTAATTGAGTCAAGATGACACTGAAGGCAAGGCTCCAGCTTATTCTTACTACTATACCGAATCAGCATAATTTTGTGATGAGCTTTGGTGAGGTCTGGGATTTTTCAGTCTTGCTGGTGGATGAGATCTGGAGCAAAGGTTGTCATCTGTGAGAGATACTATGCCTGGCATGGGGGACCAGTAGTGCTGGGATTTTAATGAAAGTTTTGCAGAGAATGGTGGGTAATGGCTGCTGAGGGGATACCAGTGCAGCACAGAAGTGCAAGAAAGCCATGCGTGTCTCAAACTCACTTGTAGTTCTGGGTGGTTAATATTGAAGAAAGATTCAGAGGCAGGCTGTGAGGCCTTCAAAGCAGCATTTGGGACTTTTCCTGACTGTGGGATCCATCAGAGGTCTGGGGTTGTGCTGGATCATGTTTGAACTGGTCAAGCACTCTTTGGATGCCATGTGCCCGGTACCTGGGTGAGTCCAGGGAGATACCTGTGAAGGGGAGCAGGGAGGTGGTGGTGACTATGGTGTCTGGAGATGTGAGAGTATGGTCCACAGAATGATGTGCATATAGGGGGGAAGTGTGATCTGATGGCTCCAGGGCCTTTCTATGGGGACTGAAGGTAGAGTTGTGAAGACAGGTTTGGTTGTATTTGGGAGTCATGATCTTGGGGGGCCCAGGGTTATTGCCTGGCAGGAGGGTTTGCACCCTGAAGGCCAGGCTCACTGCTTAGATGGGGTCTATCTCCCCACCTGCCCGTTGTTAGTGAGGTCTGAACAGTATTACTGTGACAAAGAGGAGAGCATAGTCATCAGTGGGACCAAGGACTGGTATCTAATCTGAGATGTGGATCTCTGGAGGAAGATGAGTTTGTATTGTGGGACCTCAGAGAGGCTACTCCTGAATTCAGCTGTCCCTATAATGACAGGCACTATGACATTTGGGGACATGCTTTTGTATTTGTGGGAGGAGTGGGGGTTCCTGGATGAGTTCCAGAGATTCCTGTACCACAATGTGAATCTGAAGAACTTTGCATTTATATGCTCATATCCTCACTGGGCAAGGCATTCATGCCCTCCCCAGTGCTCTGATCTAAGCTTTGTATCCCCACTCTCCAACCCTGCTTTCCCCAGATGGTGCTCTGTCTTTCTCACATCAGGACCATGAACACTGTTTGTGTCCCCAGTTCCTGAGCAGGTGCTGTGGTTGATAGGGCTGGACTGTTTGCACTGACCTCTTCCCTCCTCATGCCCCAACATCTGCCTCATAGGGAAAGATTCAAGGTCAGTACTCTTATAGTGAGCCCAAGGATCTCACTTGCTTGCCCTCTCCCTGGCCAGTGACTGTGTTTAGGTCCATGGAACCTCTGTACCTTAGGTTTTACTCCCTTACTTTAACTGACATTTCCGTGTGCAGGCTCGTGCCACGAATTCCTTGCATTCTCATGGCCTCTACTTACCTGGACCATGAGCTGTTTTTCAAGCCTCCTGCTCAGTTCTCTTTGTAGTGTGGAGATCTCTTTTGTGGTCTGTTGTGTGCTGAATTGCCCTGGCCCAGTAGTGACCACTCACCTGACAGTTTTTTCCTTCAGTGCTTGTATCCTCCATGTCCCATGTAGTTGCTCAAGTAGGGCTTCAGAAGAGTCCTTTCTGCATCACAGGATGGACATGACCTTAGCTGTGACAGGGTGGGCTCAGAGGGGGCCTGCCCCTGGTGGATGGCAGCTGGGGAGTGTGTGATGTCTGGGCTATGTTCAGATCACATCAGCAATCTGTCCTTTCCAACCAGGGTTTTGGTGCCATTGCCAGTGGCCACACCCCATTTCTATCTTTCTGTTGTTGGTACTGTGCTGACTTGTTGAAGTCCAGGGGAAATCTTGAATATCTCTGTATTCCACATCTTACCCATCCCTCTCAACAATCTTTCTTAAGTGCTCTGCCACACTGACCTGCCTATGTTGTACCCGAAGGTGTACAGTATCCTGACATTGGCCTTGAACTCCCACTCATTTGTTGCAATTGGATTTTCCTGGGCTCTCATGTGCCTCTGCATGGCCTTCAATGTCACCAGCAGACAAGTTCCTGCTGAAAGCCTTTGGTGGAAGAAGAAGATGTACATCTGCTTTGCTTCCCTGTGCCACACCCGGTCCCATGTCCTCCTGGTGAAGCCTCTACTATTCTGTGACCTTATGGTTTTAGTAATGCTCAGCAGCCACATCTGCAACCAGAACCCCACTCCCATTTCTCAAAAGCATCCCCTGAATTATTCCTGGTTGCAATTCAATTGAGTAATTCAACTGGATGTGATTCATTGAGTCAGTGTAGACACATTACTCCAATAATGTCAACACATATTTCACTGTTACTTCTTTGCTTTAAGGTTATTGGTGCAGATCAGAGAACAAAGAGGTACCTTATGAACAGAGTGTTTCTGTAGGAGTAGCACAGATCAGGATTTTCAAGGCAGGTCCCTTCATCCAGAAGACCCACCCCCGTGATATGTGTATCCCTATCTTGAAACACATTTTACAGTTGTCTAAGCATCATGGACAGAAACTGTTTACAAGAGAACAGCATGTACCAAACAATTTTATTTTAGTGCAAACCCTTAGTGTCACCAGGAGCAGCATTTTGGTGAAAAATTTCAGAAGAAACACGGAAAGGGCCTCATGTGTGAAGAGATGCAAGTTCCATGTGTTAAGGAAGCCCTTTACCCGTGGGGAGGTTAGGAAGGACTTCCTGGCCACCTTGGACTATTTTTATAAGTAGGGCACTTATACTAGGGAGAGAGCAAACAAAACCATCAAGTGTGGGTTGGTAGAAAAAGTCATTAAAACTGGGAAGAACGCAAGACAGCCTTCAGCTACACTGACACACTTGCTCAGAATCAGGGTGTCTACACTAAAGAAAATCCTTACAGTATAGTGAATATAGGACATCTTCTGGTGATAGCCTCACCTTCAATTATCAATGGAGAGTTCACGCTAGAGAAAGACCACAGTTTGGAGGAAATGTGAAATTTCCTTGTTCAGTATAACAAAAATGGATCAAAGCCTCTGTGAGTATCCATCTGTCTGCTTTGAATCTCATACATCTGAACCTCCATAAAGGGAAGATGCCCCATAAATTTCATTTATGTGGGAAGCATATGTGGCTATGTTGCACTTTCTAACCAGCCCAGGGCTCTTTCCAGATTCATGTCACTGCCAGTTTCTGTGGCCAAAGCCACTTCATCTCAACTACCTGGCAGGTTCCCCTCCGGGAAGCTGGCATCTGTTCTGCCATGAATTGGAGAAAAGTAGTAGTAGCCTGAGCCCTTAGAAGGTCCATATCCCCTTCTCTCTGATTAGTTGGCATGGACCTCACCTAGTGTTGTCCCAGAGGAAAGCAAATGAATTCTACCGGCAGCTTGCCAAGAGCTACCTTTTTCAGGTACGTTTGTCTCACGCGATACTTGCAATTAATTTTTCCCACTCCCAAGTCTCCAACTTGGGGACTGCCTATCACATATTGCTTTGGTTTGTACCATTAGAAAGACCTTATTTTTAAAATACTCTCTAAATTTGGGGTTTCTAGCTACTATGCAGTGGTTTATAATAGATTTGGGCTTTGCAAGCACTACAATTTTTGTCGATTCCCGAACTCTGTGTGCCTCTAAGGGAACAGTATGGGAGGAAATGGCACCTCAGTGTTGGGCAAATTTGCATCGCTGCCCATAGCCTCTTGGCAAAGATTTGTTATTCTAATTCATGGCTTGGACACCTGGGTGATTAGTCTCCAGATACCCGCACATGGCCTCCTTAAAGAAGGACCGCCGAACCTCTACCCTTGAACAAGGGCCTTCCATTTCCCAGAGGCCCTCTCAGTAAATCTTGGCCTTTTCTCCTGGAGTCAGGTGGAGAACCCTCTTTCCTAGGCCTTGGGAATCTGTGGGAACTAAATTTCCCAGAACGCCCAGCGTTAAAGACGGCATCGCTGAGCCAACGAAGGCTTAGAAAAGAGGTGTTTCCGTTTGAGCACAAAGGGTTGGGGCGGGGCTTCCTGTGTCCAGTCTGTGGCCATCGTTTTGGCTGTCGGCAGGTGTCTTCGCCTTGTGAGACGTTCCGGAGGGCCGGGCCGGGCGAGAAAGGAGGCTTTGTCCCGCCGTACGGAGGCGAGTCTGGGGGCGGGGACCTCGTCGCCAGCGAGACCGGCCTGGAGACTTCTGTGCCCGTGACCGTCGTGTTCACTCAGCTGTCATCACTTCACTCCGCCCACAGTCCGATGGCTGTGGCCGCGCCCAGGGACCCGGCTGAGGTAAACGCGCGGCCCCCGGGCCCCCGCCTCCGCCCCTGCAGGCCAGAGCGCGGGGCACCTGCTCGGGTCTCTGCAGCCCAGGCCCCAGTGTCCGGCCCCGGGGAGGTGCTCGTGGGCGGGGGCCCAGTGTCTGAGCGCTGGCGTGACGGGGTGTGGGAGTGGGCTGCAAGGAAGGGGCCGGCTGGTGCAGGGCTGCAGGGGGACCTGAGGGGGAGGATTCGGGAGTGTGGGGTCCTCCTTCTGCCCTCGGGGAACATAAGTGCCGCGGAGTCACGGGGGGACTGGCGGGCTGGAGGGTTGTCCTTTCACGTGAGGACTCTAGACGCCAAGGACTCTAGACACTAGACGCCAAGTTTTGGCCAAAGGAGGGACACGATCTCCGTAAGGGGTGGGGGGTGAGGGGTGGTGAAGACCTTGTGGCCCTGGGAGGTTGAGTCTTTGTTCAAGGTCACACCTGGTAAAAGGCAAAACTGAGTACTCAGGCACAAAAAATAGAAGCCAGCCTGAGGTCAGCTGGCTGAGGTCCTAAGTCCATGTCAGGGGTTATATGTGGATGTTCCCTTTAATGGCGACCTTTTTAAGCAGGTGTGGAAGGTTAACCCAGGACTGGGTACCAAGATGTGCAAGTGCCTAGAGGTAAAACTAAAGTCAGGAATGTTCAAAACCACAGGTCTCCGTTTCTTTCAAGTAGGAATAAATAGCAAGTGGATAGGTGTCATGACAAGAGTGACTGCCTGAGCTTCTGGGTGTGTGTTCTAGAAGTAATGAGAGGTTTTGATCACAGGAAGGAGGTGATGTTACCAAGGTCTTAGAAGACTTCATCTGGCTTCAGAGTGGAAAACAGACTATGAGCTTGAGGGAGCAAGAAGGACAATCATTGTGGTGGCTACTGCTATAGTCCAGGTGAGGGGTAATGGACCAGGGTTGTTGCTTAGGAGATGGTTGTATTCTGGCTGTGTGTTAAAAAAAATTTTTTATTAATGTTTTATTTTTGAAAGAGAGAGAGAGGCAGAGCACGAGCAGGAGAGGGGCAGAGAGAGAGGGAGGGAGACACAGAATCTGAAGCAGGTTCCAGACTCTGAGCTGTCAGCACAGAGCCCAACACAGGGCTTGAATTCATGAACCATGAGATCATGACCTGAGCCAAAGTTGGTCACTTAACAGACTGAGCCACCCAAGTGCCCTGTGTGTCTTTATTTATTTTTTATTTTGTATTTATTTATTAAAAAAATTTTTTTTTGTATTTATTTTTGAGAGACAGAGAGAGACAGAGCCTAGGCGGGGGAGGGACAGAGAGAGACACACACACAGAATCTGAAGCAGGCTCCAGGCTCTGAGCTGTCAGCACAGAGCTTGACATGGGGCTCGAACCCACAAGCCGCGAGATCATGACCTGAGCTGAAGTCGGACACTTAATTGACTGGACCACCCAGGTACCCCTGTGTGTTTTTAAAAGGGGCAACTAGACTTTCTGATGTGGACAGTGAGAAAATGAAAGAGCTAATTAGTGATGACCTCAAAGATTTTGGTCTTAGCAGCTGTAGGAATGGAAGCTGCATCAATGTGTTACCGAACTCCAGTGCTTGGACCCAGTGAGAGTAGAAATGAACCTGGACCCACGATTTAAAAATACAGACAAAGCTTTATTGGAGCAACAGCTGTAACTGAATGGACACACAGTCACAACAAAGGTGTTAGACTGGCTCTCCGAAAAATAGGGAATTTTAAAGGACCTAGGGCGGAAAAGGAGTGATGTGTAAGCATGTAGGGGTGGGGAAATACAAGGAATTGGGCACGCAGGCGCAGTTGACAGAACATCCTTCTTCATACATTGGGTGTTTTGTTTGCAGTTAAGCCTCCACCTCTGGGCGTGATTTTCAACATTGTAGTGAGTTAAAGGTAACTCTTGGTCACTCCATGATCCATCTGTGCTGGCGTGAGTTAGGGGTTAAGCTCCAACTGGTCTGGGCCGCAAGAGCTCTTCCTCCAGGCAGTCGTGATAGCTTGAGGGGTAGTTTTGGTTTCCATCATGGGATGCTCTGCCTCTTGGGTCTTTGGCCTGAGTTAGGAGATAAGCTGGAAAGAAGAGCCTAAGAAAAATGTGGGACAAAGGTCGGTGGATACAAGCAGGTGAGAAGTAAAGGTCAGGTCTTGGGATCTAGCTGCTGGCACATTCAGATGAGCAAGTTGGTATTCACCGAGGATATCAGGAGCTTAGTTTTGACCATGTGAAGAGTCTGAGGTGTTTCAAAAATCAGTGACTGGAGGCATCAAATGAACAGCTTACAGGTCGGGAAATCTGGGGAGGGATTCAGGTTAGAAACATCCAAAATGTGGAAACTACAGTGGGGACGACGAGGACTGAGCGGTGGGTCGTATTTAGGCAAACTTGAGGTTGTGGTGGCAAAACTATTTGGGGGCCAGGTGTGGAGGGTGAGGGCCAGGACTGGGTCTCTTGCTTGGATACCTGGGTGATGGTTTCGGGCTGCACAGATGCAGGTAAGTAGACATGAGGTTTGGTGTATCAGACAGACTAGTCTGTAGATGGCCAGAGCTTCCAAGGGAAGAGTGGATTTGCAGTGGATGCAGAGACGAGAGGTAGGGGACAAAAGATGACGCCCAGGCCAGAACTGGTATTTATTAGCCACTTTTTAGACTTAGCAAGATTTGTGAGGACTTTGGTGGGACCTGATGTGTTTCATTCAGCCTGGTCAGGGAAAATAGGGTCACCTGTGAGAATCACTAGGCCTGGGGTGGGCAATCAATGGAGTTGGTCTCGAAGGTTAGGGGGACAGAGAAAATTTTTATTTGCTGAGGTGATAGCAAGTGCATCAAGGAAATAGAATGGGCCTATGGATATGTGAGATCTGCCCATGGTTCTGTGTGTCTAAGTCAGGCAAGGATCAGAGCCACAGGATGATCAGAGCCATAAAATGATTTGGAATAACACTGCTCTTGGGACCCGTATGAGGTTAGTGGTCTTACAGGATCCTGTTTGAATTTGCCACTTGAATTGTGGGTGCTGTGTGCCAAATTGTGGCATAAGGCCTAAACCCTGTATGATATGCTTCCTTGACGTGTGGAGGTACCTAGTGCTCTCAGATGGCCTGAGTGCAAATTCTCCTTCCCACACTGCTTCATGGGATAATATCTCCTAGCCTAACAACCCTTTTCATAAATGGAACAGGGCACGGTTCCTGCTCATCTCTTTGTAGCAGGTTTCAGTCCCCTCCCAGCCCACAGACTTATTCACACAAGCCAGTCACAGCCTATGGGATTCAGAGGGCTCCCAACCTTTTCATCCTACAAGGATAGCATCTCACAGCCCCTATTTTCTCACTTTTTCCCAGAATGTAGCCCCCATGTGGGCCTTTATGGTGAGTAGTATCCTGTACTCAGAGGGGTGAATTTGTGATAAACTGCTGTCAGTCACATCTGTCCAGTCTTAGGTGTTATGTGTTCAGCCATCAACATAATCTGAGGGTGGGGTGAGGAGGAAGCAGTTTAAATATAGGTAACTTCTGGGCAGGTCAGGGAGCTGTCTTTGGAGTGGGACAGTGAGGCGGTGGCAGCCACAGTAATTTGACTGTGGGTTACGGGCACTAAGGGATGTGCAGCCTAAAGAAAGATGTGGGTTTGGAGAGGGAACATGTCAGATGATCCCAGCGCCCTGCATTGCTAATTACATGACAATGACCATACCAGGGGGATTGCTTGTCAGGAGGTTGTGGATCCGTGTGTGCCAGGCCCACAGCTCAGATATATATTTTTCTGCCTGTCTTTTATTGCTGGTGGTTGAACCCAGTGGCCAATGGGACCATGAGGAGACAATAAGACCAGTGGTACCAGGGCCTGATTTCTCCTCTAAGTTGAGAAGCTTGGGAGATGGATGGTCATAGGGAGATGTGTGGGGGAAAGGATTGTGGCTTCTCAGAAGTAGAATGTAGTTTTATCTGTCATCATGCAGGGCAGTGTGACCTTTGAAGATGTAGCTTATAGTTGTCTACACTATAAGCAAGATGAAGCAGACTTACTATCACTGTTACTGAATTTTGAATAAAAATATCCTGGAAGACTAAATGACATGAAATGTGAGCTTACAAATATATAAAGTTGATTAGATAAATAATGAGATGTTCTAGAGGGAACTTAAAGCCTAGAGACTATACTTGGAACATTTGTTTTTCTTGCCCAGCAGGTAAAGCAGGACTGAGACACCCACATGTCACTGTCAGAAAGCATGAAGGGATGAATGTTGGGGAGGCTGAGGAGACCAGTGTAGAGGTGTTCATCAGACTGTGTTGTAGGTTCATAATCAGGGTTATTCAAAAAGATGAAGTAGAAGAAAGTAAAAGGCGACTGACATATTCATTAGGATGAGGCATGGCTCTTGTCTCACTGAGATGAGAATAGAGTTTGGGGCTTTGGTTTCACAGGAAGGTCTGGGGGAAAGGCCGTGGCTGTGAACATGGTGGGCTTGTTACTTGTACCCGATCAGGACAAGGACATGGAGCCACTTGGTAGATGAGGCCAGAGCACACAATGTCAGTGGATGGCAACATGCATACATGCAGTGAGGTGATATTTCTAGAATATCCAATGAATACTACTATATATTTTTTTAGTAGTTTTTATTTATTTTGGGGCCATTTACTTTCATAGCAGTAAAGTTACTTAATGCAGATGCAGGCTGCAGGAGAAGAAACCAGTGACACTTTGGAGACATCATTCTAAGCTCCATCCACTGCAAAGTGTTATGGCAAAGCTTAAGGTTCTGAAAGCCACTCAGAAAGCAGGCAATGCTAAGAAAAACCTGCCCCTTGTGTGAAAATAAAGACAAGGTAATATCCAACATCATTCCAGAAAACATTTCCTTCCAAAAGCTGTCATTGGCTGAGAAATCTCATTAGAGGGAAGCTTTATTGAGTTTAAAGATAAGTTGGTTGAAATTCAAGTCTGTCAATAACACCTTCTGTGCTGTGAGAAAAGTAAAATTATAAAGATAATATAAGGATCCCACATTCAGTATGGTTGAGGAAGATAATATCCAAATTTTAGTAGAAACCATTTTATCAATTTAGAGGACTTGGGCGGTTTGATTTTCCTTGAATCAGAGAAATATGTAAACTTTAAAATAAAATTGGATTGGGGCACCTGGAAGTTGGTGGAGCATGTGACTCTTGATCTCAGGGTTGTGAGTTTGATAAATAAATAAGGCTTATTATCTTTACACTCAGAAGTCATTTTTCACGTAACCGACTTTTCCAACTCAATATAACATAAACATTAACATCAGGTCTTTCACACACACAAATTTAATTTTTGGAGGGTTTTTTAATACTACCAAAGATTGAAACTAATTTGATGTCTGTCAATGGAAGATTGAATAAATCATGACGGATACCAAGATGGAGCATTAGCTTTGGAGGAAGTTCTGCCAACTGCTACAGCTCTGGAACATACTGTTAGGTGAAAAAGAAGAGGAAGAAGGTGTCATAATATTTTGTGCAGGTAGCTGTATTTTTCTAAGAATGGAAGGAAAATTTTGTTTGTTTGTTTCTCTTGAGTGTCATTAGGAGCTGATTGGCTCCTAAGTAAGAACTTACTTGGGGCGCCTGGGTGGCGCAGTCGGTTAAGCGTCCGACTTCAGCCAGGTCACGATCTCGCCGTCCGTGAGTTCGAGCCCCGCGTCGGGCTCTGGGCTGATGGCTCGGAGCCTGGAGCCTGTTTCCGATTCTGTGTCTCCCTCTCTCTCTGCCCCTCCCCTGTTCATGCTCTGTCTCTCTCTGTCCCAAAAAAAATAAATAAAACGTTGAAAAAAAAATTTTTTTTAAAATGTCATTATTTCAATAATTAAATACAGATAAAAATATTTTTCCTCTGTTTGCTAAAATCATTATTTTCTAGGGCACCATTCATCCTTATATTGCATTATTTAGCCTTCAATTTTGAGAGTATTACATTGAAGTCTCTTTCTGTTACTCTGTTTCTCATCATTTTTCCTAAGCAAGAATCAATAATTTATATGCTTTCTACGTTGGGAGGAGAGGTCAGTGAAAAGAGTAAGGTCAGCCATGTGGGTAGAGCTTGCATACTGGAGAAGAGAAGACCCCACTAAGTTAGCTGTTATTTTGTATTTATGATCAGTTTTTTACTTGTTAAGTAGGTCATCAAACACAGATTATTATTTAAAAAAAATTTTTTTTAACGTTTTATTTATTTTTGAGACAGAGAGAGACAGAGCATGAACAGGGCAGGGGCAGAGAGAGAGGGAAACACAGAATCAGAAGCAGGCTCCAGGCTCTGAGCCATCAGCCCAGAGCCCAACACGGGGCTCGAACTCCCGGACTGTGAGATCGTGACCTGAGCTGAAGTCGGACGCTTAACCGACTGAGCCACCCCGGCGCCCCAGATTATTATTTTTTAAATTAGACTTTATGATTTTAGGGCAGTTTTAAGTTCACAGCAAAATTAGTGGAAGCTACAGAGGTATCCCGTATACGACTTCCCCCACAAAAGCACACACTTCCTGCTATCAACATCCCACGTCAGAGCGATATGTTTGTTCACAATCTATGAATCTGCGCTGACACATCATTTTCACTCAAAGTCCACAGTTAACATTAGGGTTCACACTTAGTGTTGTGCATTCTGTGGATTTTTACTATCTCCATAGTTCGACCTTTTCCAGAATGTCATATACTTGCAATCCTACAGTATGTACCCTTTTCAGATTGGTTTCTTCCACTTAGTAATATGCCTTTTCATGACTTGATAACTTCTGTTTTTAAATAATTTAAAAAAATATATTTATTTTGAGAGAGAGTGCAAGAGAGCACATGTGCATGAGCAAGGGAGGGGCAGAGAGAGATGAAGGGAGAATCCCAAGTAGACTCCGCACTGTCAGCGCAGAGCCCGATGTGGGGCCCAGTCTCACGAACCATGAGATCATGACCTGAGCCGAAGTCAAAAATCTGATGTTATCCAACTGAGCCATCCAGGTGCCCCTTGATAACTTCTTTTTAGTGCTGAATAATATCCCATTGTCTGGATAGGACATAATTTATCCATTCACCTATTGAAGGACGCCTTGGTTGCTTCCTAGTTTGGGCAGTTATGGATAAAACAGCTAAAAATGTCTATCTTCAGGTTTTTATGTGGACATACATTTTCAACTGCTTTGGGTAAATACCAAGGGGCACAATGCCAGATTGTATAAGAGTGTGATTAGTTCTGTAAGAAACCACCAAACCATCTTCCAAAGTGGCTGTACCAGTTTGCATCCCTACCAGTAATGAATGAGAGTTTCTATTGCTCTGTATTCTTGGGAGCATTTGTTGTCATCAGTGTTCTGGATTTTGGCCATTTCTATTAGATATTTAGTTATATCTCATTGTTTTATTTTGCAATTTCTAATAATAAAATGATGTTGAGCATCTTTTCATATGCTCGCTTGCCATCCATCTGTCTTCTTTGGTGAAGTATCTGTTCACGTTTATGTTAAAAAAAAACAGTTTTATTAGCTACATTAAGTTAACGACACCTAAACCATCCAAATTTGAGATTCTCCCAGAGAATTCAAATTAGGATTCATCACAGCATCACTTACTTCAAATCCATAATAATATTTTACTTGTTTACCTTAATAGTCCATAAGTTATTAAATAACAGTAAATTATTAATTGGAATTAGACTTCAGGGACCATCAGATGTTTGGTAAACTACAGGTTAGTGACTGCGAATATATGCTAACAAATAAGTATTTCTGGAGGGATGCACAACAATTGATGACAGAACTTAACTCTTGCGTTATAGGAGATAGGGCGTCAAGTAGGAGAAAGAGGAAATACTAGGTATTGTATGTGTATGCACATAAATCTCAAAATTTTCTAAACAAAAAGGTTGTATACATATTGAAAAAATAGTAAGGAAAACAGTAATAAACTAGAACAAAGTGTGTGTGTGCGCGCACGTGCGCGTGAAATTAATCAATAAATACAAATAATAGAAAATTATAGAGGAATTGTAATAAGGAAAAAGTATGAAATGAATTTAAATAATAATCAAATGTAACATGTAAGTGGGAGTCAGAACCACAAGATTTGGGTACATAAAGAGATCACAAAAGATCTTTGAGTCCTGGACCAGTTGTGGTTACCTGTCTCACTCCTACTAAGAACTATAGTCATTTGTGGAAAAAAATCAAGCCTGTGTCCTGTCTTTTATCACATAGTTTCTGTAGAAGGACACTTAGGGACTAAATTGGCACATCTTATTTTCAGGAGAAGTAACAGGAGACTCCCCACCTCACAGCTGTGTGGCTTAAATTCTAGAGGTCAGATCAGACCAAGTTGTCACTGCTCAGAGGATGAGTGGGGCAGCTGCTTTAGAAATCCTTGCAGATCTGGAGCAGGTGCTGATATCCAGGGGCCATATAAGTGCCAGAGAAACACTTGGGCCTTGACACCGTCATACACCTTTGTGATTCCTGGCCTCTGCACTCGGTGACCTTTCACTTGTTCTTTCTCTTATCCAATGAGGTGTTTATTCTGAGTGAGAACACACTTGTGACAGCACTCCGGCTGGTTTTAAAGGTTAACTTGCTTCTAGTTGACACGCTCCTTACTTGCTGACCTGAGGTCCTTGATCTATAACAGCTCATTTATACTCTCTTTGAGATTTGCAGACCACCTGTCTTGAGGTGTGAGGAACTAGAACTTTCCCAGGCCACAGAGGCCAGCAGATCGGTTTGAAGGCACCTCGGCTTTCTGATTAGCCTAGCAATTTTCTTTTCTTTTCTTTTCTCTTTTTTTTTGTAGAAAAACTTTTTTTTTTTAGGTCACAGAAATGTTTTTCCTCACCTCCCTTTTTGTATCTGTAGACCTTGCCCTCCTTTGCAGAAAGAACAGAGTCCTCCTGCACGGCACATAACCAGGACCCCGCCGCACAACTACCAAGCACCGAGACAACATCTATAACTGGCACCATCGAGTTTGCCCGTGACCAAGAAATGTGGCAGGTCACGGCACTCCCTTTGCTGAGTAGCTGTCCTAAACCCTTTTACCAACCCCTGGGCCAGGTAGAAACCTCAGAGTTGGCGTTTGGACAAGAGTCCTCTTCTCCCCAGGTTGCCGGCCTTGTATATAAAGCTCAAATTCCTTTCCAATTAAAACTGGTCTCTTGAGTAATGATCTTTCAGGCGACTGCCAGCCAAACTTGGGTTCAGTAACACTTTCTTTGTGCTGATCCCAGAAATTTGCTATAGACATAAAATACAGATGAAATAATGTGCACCCAGCTCCCCAGGACCAGTAATAAAGTACACGGGGTGTGCAGTTTTGTAACTGATCACAGAAAGTTTTCAAAGACTATTCATTCATCGGGCTCTCCAGAGCAACAGAACCGAGAGAGAGAGAGAGAGAGAGAGAGAGAGAGAGAGAGAGAGAAACGTCATATTCATTTTTTCCTCGGTAATATTGGCTTAATGGAGACACAAGAGAGAAAGGAGAGAGATTTTAAAGGAACTGGTTCACAAAAATGTGGAGGCTGGAAAAGTCTAAGATCTTAGATCTTAGATCTAAACTGGAGGTCCAGGGAATAGTGGATGTTCAGCGCTAGTCTGAAGCCAGTCAAGAGACAGAATTTCCTCTGTCTGTGGAATCCCTGACTGTGCCCTTCTCATCTGAAAATATATTGCATATTTTAGCTATTTGTTTTGTTTGAAGTTTATCTTTCCTGATGGTAACATTGGCTTAATAGAGGCAGGTTCTTTGCCAGACATTTTCTTCCTCCTACTTCTCATACAGAAGAATAAGGTGTGACACACATTGCATGCTTAACATGTACCTATTGAAGCAGTGAATAAAAGTATACCTACCTTGTCCCTGTTCATTTTTAAGAATGTGAAATCTTTCCTACTTCTTTATTTTCATCTTCTAGCAGGCTGCAATGATGCACAAATAACAGAAATTTAAAGTAATATATTTTTAGGTGAAACACTTGGATTGACCAAAAACACATCTCAGTAAACACATCTTCCATCTTAGCTGTCTTCTCTCAATGATTAGACCTTGTCTTGCCTGTCGTTTTTACCTGGTGTTTTCCAGGCATTTTAGATATGTTATAGGCTGGCTGTTTCTCTCAAATAGTTTTTTAAATTTTTTTAAACTTTTTAATTCCTTTAGTTTATTTATTTTTGCGAGACAGAGAGAGACAGAGCATGAGCAGGAGAGAGGCAGAGAGAGAGGGGGAGACACAGAATCTGAAGCAGCTTCAGGCTCTGAGCTGTCAGCACACAGCCCGACCTCGGGCTCCAACTCATGAGCTGTGAGATCATGACCTGAGCCAAAGTCTGATGCTTAACCGACTGAGCCACCCAGGTGCCCCCAAAAAACACTCTTAAAAAGTTGAGTTGTAAAGGGTGTGAGTGAGAAATGGTAGAAGCAGGAAATGTACTGGATGGAAGAGTGAAGTATAATTGTTTTAAGGTGTCCAACGAAGTTATTTTAAGTTTTTATTTAAGTAGTCTCTACACCCAACATGGAACTCAAATTCACAACCCAAAGATCAAGAGTTACATGATCTTCTGAGTCAGCCAGGCACCCCCAACATAGTTATTTTAAGAGATTTAAACAACTTGTCTTTGCCAACTCCTTACAGCTTCTCTCTAAAGAGTACCTTCAGACAGTGGTGGCTTTGGAAGGAAATATTTTCTAGGTGACGTTGGACATAAACTTGTCCTTTATTTTCACAGAGGGGCAGAAGGATCTGTCTCAGCACTACATTCTCTCAAGTGACTTCTAGGCCAATACACTTTGCCCCAGGATTCTGAGGTGGGTGGAGCTAAGAATGATGTCTTCAAAGTGCCTTGGACTCTGCTCTTTCCTCTAGTGGGCCCTGTAACTCCTGCTAAATTCCTTTCTTGCCATGAATAGACGGGAGCAATAAAAAGGAAAAACAACTCCAGAAAAAAAAATAATTCATGGAAACTGTTATGCAGGCATTCCAGAAAGATATATAGTCCCAGTATATGAATTCATGTTGTTCGTCATTCACATTGTATGTTCTCACTTCATGGTCTACCAAGTGGCTCCAAGGGACTTTGGCACAGACACAAGTGGAGAATCCAATACAGTCACAGGAACCGCCTTTCGCCTAGACTTTCTCGTAAGCAGCATTCTTATCCTGGTGAGACAAAAGCCACATTCACCATTCTCATCCTGGTGAATACGTTTGTCACCTTTTGTTCTCTTTTATCTTTCGGAATATGAACCTACACCATGGTCTGATGAATAGCTCTACACTGATTTCTTCAGGCTCCCTGACATTCATCCCTTTGTGCTCGTTGGTAGTGACACCCAGGTCTCTCAGTTATACTTTGCCGGCTCGGCAAGAAAAACATATGTTCCAAGTGTAGTTTCTGGGCTCTAAGTTCTCTCTAGGACATCTCACCATTTCTTTAAATAAACTTTACATGTTTGTAGGCTCAGATTTTATGTCATTTAATCTGAGAAACTTTGACTCAAAGGTGAATAACAAAGATCATAACTCTGTTCTATATTGCTTATATTGTGGAAAACATGAAGGCCACTCATTCAAAAGTAATTTTCTAAAATTGTAGGATGTAGTTCACTAGAGGCTCAGGTAATTTTATGATCTAACAGTGGGAATGTTCAGAATATAGGAGTTGAGAGTATAAAACCACTTCTGATTAGAAATTTATGCTGACATTTAAAAGATTCTAATTAACAAAGCATAGTGGCAGGGGAGGGGGTGTTTCAATTGGAGAAAAAAAAAGACCTGGGAATACTCTGAGATGGAAAGGCACATGGAATTCAAAAGACTGAAGGAAGATCAATGGGTGTTTAGTACAATGTATGATGGGGACTGTGGTGAGAAAAGCAGCATAGAAAGTGGGTGAGGCTTTTTCTATGAGGTATCAGAGGACACCTGAACTGTAAGAATGATTAGAACTTTGAGTAAGGGAAATAATGGGTTTGTGAGGGATTAATCAGATGGGATCAATAGTATTGTTAATGATAACATTTTAAGTATCCAAATAAATGTATTAAACTTTACATTTTAGCACCTTTTAATATTTGTTTTAATTGAAAGGTTTTTGTTTTAAATAGTTCTTATAAGTGCATTTACAGTACTTAGTATGAAGCTTTTGGAAATTGTTTTTATAAAAGTCAATTTTAGTAATTATTGTGAGCCATTGGCACCTGGATGATACTTTCAAAAAGTTGCTCTTTTTCTCTTTATTACATATCGTTAGTAAGCCATTTGCCTTTCATTACCACTAAAACATTTATTAATGTAATATTAATATTTGAAATCCTAAGCCAGAATGTGTATCTGGAGAAAGAGCATTCATAGAGGCAATTAAGGTAAAATGACATCATAAGGATGGGGCACTACTTCATTAGGACTGATTTCTTTATAAGAATAGACACCAGGAGTATGGTCACAGAGAGGAAAAGGCACAGCAAGATGGCCATCCACAAGCCAAGGAGAGAGGCCTTAGGAGAAACCTTCATCTTCAACTTCCAGCATCCAGAGCAGTGAGAAAATAAATTTCTGTTCAAGCTGCTTCAGTCCATACTGTTTTGTTATGACAGTCCTAGTAGGCTACCACAATTGTCATTTAATGTGTTCTTCTCACCAAAAAAATAAATAAGCTGGACATCCAAAAAGATACAGTCAGGGGACACAATGGTCACAATTCTAAAAAGGCTACACCTGCCCTGGCTGGCTCAGTCAGTGGAGCATGTGACTCTTGATCTCACGAGGCTGTGGTTCCAGCCCCACCTTGGGTGTACAGATTACTTAAAAAATTTTTTTAAAAAGGCTACACAATTATAAACTAGCTTTTACAAAATATAGAGGGTTTAGTATAGAGCCTTTACAATTTTACTTCCACTTCTGTTGATTTTTGCTTCCACTTCTCAAAATCACTTATGATACAGGTAAGGGAGAAGTTTTCTGTGGGAGCCAGAAACAATTCCTCTTTGTCCACCTGTGTCAGGGTGGTGTAATATGCCTTTTCTTGCTTTTCTGTGATGGCCCTGTGTGGAGTCTTTTTTCTTCTTCCTGACAAACACACACACAAAACTGAGTAATGCTTCAGGCCATATACATTTGAGGAACAATACCGTAATGTTTCCAGCTATGTGTGAACTCTTTTATGTTTTAATGATGTATGGAATCAGATGCCATTTTAAAAATTTGTTTATTGAGAGCAAGTGAGCACATGTGAGGGAGCCAGGGAGGGGTAGAGGGAGAGAGAATCTCAAGTAGGCTCCATACATACTGCGGACGCAGGAGTGGGGCTCAATTTCACCACCCTGAGACCATGACCTGAGCTGAAATCAAGAGTGGGCCGCTTAACCCACTGGGCCAGCCAGAAGCTCAGCCGGGCGCTCCTAAAATTAATATTATTTGAGATGCACCCAAATCCTCTATCCAAATGTCATCTCTGGCACCTGGATGGCTCATTTGGTAGAGAGCATCCCACTCTCGATCCCAGGGTCCTGAGTTCAAGCCCCACGTTGGGCATGGAGCCCATTTAAAATAATACTTTTATCCTCAGGGAGCAGGCTGAGCTTTATAGAGTCGAAATAATGTCTCTAAGCCACGTTTAACAATGAGCAAAAACCCCTTCTCCCCACTGATTCTGAAGCGTCACTAGCCTTGCCTGCGTGCCGCGTGGCCCACCTGCTGGTAGACACTGCGGACCCTGTGCTACTACTACATTTCCCAGGAGATCCTGCGCTGGGCGGCCGCAGTCAGGAGCCAATGAGGGGCCATTTCCGTGCGTGCGCATCGTCTCGGGGCGGGGCTTCCGGGGCCGTCATCCTGGTCCTTTTGGCACGTTCTTTCACACAAATTCCGGAGCTCGGGGTTCGGACGGTGGATGACTGACCGAGAAAGGGCGGGAGGAGGCGCCGTACGCGGCGCGCCGACCGGGATTCACGGCTCGGCGACGCCGCCCGTGCTGCCCCGCGCCGGGGCCGGGACAGGCACCGCCCGCCCGGGTGTCCGCTCCGCCCACAGAGTCCGATGGCGGCGGCCGCGCGCAGGGACCCGGCTGAGGTAAACGCGCGGCCCCCGGACCCTCCTCTCCCCGCCCCCACCCCCGACCCTCAGGCCCGAGCGCTGGGCGCTTGCTTGCGTCCCTGCGGCCCCGGTCCCGGTGTCCGGGCCCCGGAGGCGCTCGTGGGCGGGGGCCCAGTGTCTGAGCGCCGGCCTGAGGGGGTGCGGGAGCGGGCTGCAGGGGAGGGGTCGGCTGGTGCAGGGCTGCAGGGGGCGCCGAGGGGGAGGAATCGGGGGGTGTGGGGTTCGCCCTCTGCTCTCGGGGAACAGAGGGTGTGCGGCGGGGGCACTGGCGGGCTGGAGGCGTTGCGCCTTCACGTGAGGACTCTAGACGCCAGGGAGCGTTCTGGCCTAGCAGAGGGGGGAGGGTTTGGTCTTAGCAGCTGAAGCTGCGGAAGCTCCATCAACTGGGATGGGGACGTTGGCGGTGGGCTCATTTTTACTGTGAATGTCTTAAGTTTTTCGGCCCTGTTAAGAGTGTGAGAAGTTTCAGAGAACTGAGTGAAAGCGTCAAATGGGCCACTGGGCACTCAGGTCTGGAATCTGGGAGAGGTCCAGGATGGAGACATCCAAGAGTTCTGGCTATTGTGTGGACCAGGTGGAGCTTTGGATCACATATAGGAGGGGTGAGATGCAGGTGGTGGTAGCGTGGTGGCAGTGCTGTTGGTGGGCCGGAAAGAAGAGGGTGCCTGCTGAAGGAGAAGTGTGATAGCGGGAACAGTGTGGGAGAGAGGACCATCTGGCAGGTGGCCAAGACTTCCCTGGGAGGAGTGGACAGGAGACGGCTGCGGAGGCAGAACTAGTCGTTGAGTCAGGATGACAGTGAGGCCTGTTTATTCGCTACCGTGCAGATTCACCAGAACTGTGGCGAGATTTTATGGCATCTGCGGTGTTTTAGTCTTACTGGTGGATAAGGTCTGGGGCAAATCTGTTCATTTGTGAGGGTCACTGTGCCTGGCATGGAGACCATTGGGGTTTTGATGCACTTTTTTTCCCCCTCCGTTTATTTATTTTGGGAGAGAGCACAAGCAGGGCAGGGGCAGAGAGAGAGAATGGCAAGCAGGCTCTGAAATGCCAGCGCGGAGCCCGATATGGGGGTCAATCTCATGACTGTGAGATATGAGCTGAAATCAAGAGTCGGACGCTTAAGAGACTGAGCCACGCAGGTGCCGCTTGATGCACTTCTAATGAAAGTTAAGTGGAGAAAGGAGGGTTGCTGCTGCTATGGGGACAGCAAGGGCAGCACAGCAGTAGAAGAGGGTCATGAGATTCACTTGTGGTTCTGGGTGACTAATACTGAAGCAGAGATCCCAGGCAGAGAGATGGGCAGGCCTTCAAAGCAGCGCTTGGGGTTTCTTTGTCATTGGGATCCCATCAGAGGACGGGGGTTATACCAGATCATGTTTGAAACTTTCAAGCACGCTGGATGCGGTGTGCCCAGTACGTGGGTGAGTCCAGGGAGACGCCTGTGGTGCGGGGCAGGGAGATGGTAGAGCTTGGGAGTGCATTTGAGGGATCCGTAGATGTGAGAGAGGTCTACTGAATGATGTACACATTAAGAGTAAGTATGGGGGCGCCTGGGTGGCTCAGTCGGTTGAGCGTCCGACTTCGCTCAGGTCACGATCTCACGGTCCATGAGTTCGAGCCCCGCATCAGGCTCTGTGCCGACAGCTCAGAGCCTGGAGCCTGCTTCAGATTCTGTGTCTCCCTCTCTCTCTGCCCCTCCCCTGTTCATGCTCTGTCTCTCTCTGTCTCAAAAATAAATAAATGTTAAAAAAAAAAAAAAATTAAAAAAAAAGAGTAAGTATGAGCTGAGAGCCCTCCGGCCCTGGGATTGGGGACCTTGGGGTGAAGCATGAGCCCATGTGGCCGTATCTTGTATGTATGATCTGTGAGATGTAGGAGAAATGCTTGGTAAGAGGGATGGGGCCCTGAGGGCCAGTCCCAGAGCTTCCTTGACATCATGTGCACTGCTGCTTGTTGTTGCTGAGAACCGCTGTCAGTGGCGCTGGGGCCCGGTACCTCCTCTAGGGTGGGGAGTTCTGGAGGAGGATGGATGTGGAGTAGATGTGTAGGAGGTGGATTGTGGGTTCTCAGAGAAATAATGTTCATGGTTTCATCTGTCCTGTTCTTGACAGGGTGGTGTGACCTTTGAGGATGTCGCCGTGTACTTCTCCCAGGAGGAGTGGAAGCTCCTTGATGAGGCTCAGAAACGCTTGTACCACGATGTGATGCTGGAGACCTTTGCACTTATATCCTCACTGGGTAAGACCCTCCCCAGTGATGTGGACTAGGTTTTGCACTTCATCCATAACCCTCTTTTCCTTTTTTTTTTTTTTTTCCTTGTCCCTCTTGCCCCCGGGGTCTTCTCTGTCCTTTTCAACATATAGACCCTAGGTACAGCTGGCTTTCCCCGTTTCCTGGATAGTTGCTGTCCTAGGTAGGGCTGTGTTTTTGCATTGCCCTCTTCTCTCCCCACAGTCCCAGCACTGTCCCTACTGAACTTTTACAAGAAGGATTTGATTTCAGTAGTTGTGCAGTAAGGCTAATGGATGGCATCTTGTTTGTCCTCTCCCTGGCCAGTTCATCTCTCTAGGTCTATGGCTCTTCTGTGTCCTTGGTTTTGTTTGCTTATTTAATCTGAGATTTCATTGTGCTTGCCTGTACTGGGAATTGCAGGCATTATCATGACCATTATTTACATGGACCATGGACTGTCTTTCAAGACCATCCCGGTTCTATTTATAGTGTTCAGACTTCTTTTTTCTTTTTCTTGTTTGCCAGCTTTATTGAAGTATCATTGACCAATAATTTTGTATATATTTATATTTGTAGTGTATAGTGTTATGACCTTGATATTCATGTATATTATGAAATGGTTATTACAATTGATTTCATATCACTTTACATATTTTTTGTGAGTATAAGAACCCTTAAGATGTATTCTCTTAGCGAATTCAAGTGTACAACACAGCATTATTAATGATAATCACCGCGGTGCTTATTAGATTCACAGAACTTGATCAGTTTGTAACAGACCAACATCTCCCTGTTTCCCATAGCCTCCAGCCCCTGGCATTCTACTCTTTGTTTCCTTCCTTCCTTCCTTCCTTCCTTCCTTCCTTCCTTCCTTCCTTTTTTTGATTCCACATAGAAGTGATACCATATAGTATTTGTCTTTCTCTGTCTGACTTATTTCACTTTGCATTATGCTCTCCAAGTTTATTCATGTTGTCATAAATGCATGATTTTCTTTTTTATGGCTGAACAATACTCCATTTTATATATATACACCAGGGTTTATTTATCCATTCATCCATAGATACTTACCTTGTTCTCATACCTTGGCTGTTGTGAACAGTGCCGCAATAAATACAGGACTACAAATACCTCTTTGAGATACTCAGTTTTTTTAAGGTTTTATTTTTTAAAGTAATCTCTATACCCTAAGTGGGGCTTGAACTCACAACCCTGAGATCAAGAGTCTCATGCTCTTCTAACTGAAACAGGCACTGCTATTTTTTTTGTAATTTTTTTTAACGTTTTTATTTATTTTTGAGAGAGAGTATGCTAGCAAGGGAGGGGAAAGAGAGAGGGAGACACAGAATCTGAAGCAGGCTCCAGGCTCTGTGCCTGGATGCAGAGCTCGTACCCATGAACTAGCCATGACCTAGCCAAAGTTGGACACTTAACGGACTGAGCCACCCAGGCGCCCCTGGTGCTGCTATTTTTAATTTTTGAAAGCTTTTCCATTCTGTACCGATGTGTGTACCAATTTATCTTACCAACTGTGATGATTTCCTTTTTTTCACGTTCCTTACCAACACTTATTCTCTCTTGCATTTTGATAAGAGCTATCCTAATAGGTGTGAGGTGATTTTTCATTGTAACTAAGATTTGCATTTTTCTGATGTTAGTGATGTTGAGCACCTTTTCATGTACCTGTGGGCCATTTATATGTCTTTGGATAGATGTTTATTCAGGTCTTTTGCTCCTTTTTAATTGGGTTATTTGGGTTTTGTTGTTGAGTTTTATGAGTTCTTTATATATTCTGGATATTAATCTCTTGGCAGATATTTTCTCTTATTTCTTAGGTTGTCTTTTCATTTTGTTGATTATTTCCATTGCCATGAAGAAGTTTTTGGTTTGATACAGTTCCACTTATTTATTTTTGCTTTTGTTGCAAAACAAAATGGTGTCCTATCCAAAAAATCATTGGCAACACAAACGTCAAGGAGCTTTTTCTGTATGTTTTCTTCTAAAACTTCTATAATTTTAGGTCTTATGTTTTAAGTTTTTTAAAAAAAATCCAATTCAAGTTAATTTTTGTGAGTGGTGTAAAATACAGGTCCAGTGTTTTTGTTGTTGTTGTTGTATTTGGTAGCCTTAGGGTTTATTAAGCTGTGCCTTAGTATAGATAGGCACTGGGGCTTGCCCATGGTGCTCTTAACATGGAAAACCCAGGTGTTCTGCCAATTCTTCTTGAGCACTGACAACAGGAAATTGATAGCTAAGTAGATGTTGTCCACAAGGTCCTCATCTGTCATCTTCACATGGCCAATGGCCACTGCCCGACACAGCATTTTCTTCATCTGGAATTTGATTGTGGACTTCATCCACATAGGCCAGGTATTCTCATTATGGGTCAGCAAGGAAGGGAACTTATCAGCCTTATTCAGGCCTGGGCCCAGGATTTGTGTAATCTGCTTGATCAGAGATTCTGAAAGCAAAAAGGCATCATAGTTCTTGGCCAGCTTCTTGACTGATTTTTTTATTCTTGTTGAGTTTCTTCAGTGCCTCAATATCCGTGTAGGGAATATCCACAGCCTTGGCCTCATCACAGTGCTGCTGGCACCCAAATTACATATGGAGAACTTGGGGTGGGGAGTGGACAAAAGCCCGCAATGTCTACATTCACCGACAGCTAGTCTGCCTTCTCAAACCAGCTGGCAGGCTTGGCCAAAGTCTCCCCATGCCTCCCATCTTATTTTAAGACCCAAGGTGGAGGTCTTTTTTCTTTTTCCATGTGGATATCCATTTATTGAAGAGACTGTCCTTTCCTCGTTATGCATACTTGGTGTCTTTATCAAAGATTAGTTGACCCATGTGTGCAAAGGTCTATCTCTGGGCTCTCTATTCTGTTTCATTGGTCTGTTTTTATGCTAGTACCATACTGTTTTAATTACTATAGCTTTGGAATATTTTGAAATCAAGAAGTGTGATGTCTCCAGCTTTGCTCTTTTTTCTCAAGATTGCTTTGGCTATTTGGAGTTTTCTGTGGTTCCATATGAATTTTACAATTGTTTTTTCTATTTCTGTGAAAAATGTCATTGGATTTTGTTATGGATTGCATTAAATCTGTAGATTGCTTTGGGTAGATTGCTGTGGTAAAATGGACATTTTAACTATTAATTCTTCCAGTCTGAGAACACAGGATGTTTTTCCATTTGTGTCTTCAATTTTTTTCATCAATTTCTTATAATTTTCAAGGTACAGATCTTTCACCTTCTATGTTAAATTTATTTTGAATATTGTTTTCTTTTTGATGCTATTTTAAGTGGGATTGTTTTCTCAGTTTTTTTTTCCCCAGGTAGTTTATTATTGGTGTATATAAATACAATTTAGTTTTGTATGTTGATTTTTTTTTTTTTTTAGTTCTACAACCTTACTGAATTCATTAATTACTTCTAACAGTGTTTTGGTGTATTCTTTGATTTTCTGTATGTTAGGTTGTATCACCTGCAAACAGACCATTTTACTTTCATTCCAATTTGGATGCCTTTTGGTTTTTTTCCTTAATTACTTGGGGCTAGAACTTCTAGTTCTAGGTTGAATAAAAGTGAAGGTGGGGCACCTGGGTGGCTCAGTCAGTTGAGTGTCCATCTCTTGATTTCTGCTCAGGTCGTGATCTCATGGTTTGTGGGATTGGGCCTTGCATCAGGCTCTGCACAGACAGTGCAGAGCCTGCTTGGGATTCATTCTCCTTCTCCCTCTCTCCTTCTCTTCCTCTCTCCCTCCCTCCCTCCCTCCTTCCCCTCCCTCCTCCTCCCCCACTCACACTCTCTCAAAATAAATAAACTTACTACATCTATTGATGTGATGATATGATTTTTACCTTTTAAACTCTTATTCCATTAAGGTGGTGTATTGCATTTATTGATATGCACATATTGAACTCTCCTTGGATCCCAGGGATAAATCCTGATTGATTGTAGTGTATGATCCTTGTAATGTGCTTTTGGATTTGGATTTGGTTTGCAAGTATTTTTTTTTTTCTTTCTTCAAAGAGTTTTGCGTTCATGTTCATTGGGGATATTGGCCTGTACTTTTCTTCTCTTGTACTACCTTTGAGGTAATACTGGCCTCATAAAATGATTTTAGAAGTGTTCCTTCAGTTTTTTGGAAGACTTTAAGAAGGATGGCGTTGATTCTTTAAATATGTAGTGGAATTTCCAGTGATTCTGTCCGGTTCTGGGCTTTTCTTTGTTAGGAGATTTTTTTTTTTTTATTTTATTTTTTTTTTTTAAGACACACAGAAAGAGGGCGCGGGGGGGGGGGGTTGCAGAGAAAGGGGGAGAGAGAGAATCCCAAGCAGGCTGTGTGCTGCCAGTGCAGAACCCAGTGCGGGGCTTGAACTCATGAAGTGTGAGATCATGACCTGATCCAGAATCAAGAGTCGGAAGCTTAACTGACTGGTCACCCAGGCACCCCTGGGAGATTTTTTTTTTTTAATGTTTATTTATTTTTGAGAGAGAGCAAGTGGGAGAGTGGCAGAGAGGGAGACCGAGAATCCCAAACAGGCTCTGTGCTGTCAACACAGAGTCCGATGCAGGGCTTGAGCCCACGAACCGTGAGACCATGACCTGAGCCAAAATTAAGAGTCAGAAGATTAACTGACTGAGCCACCTATGTCCCTTGTTGGAAGATTTTTTATTACTGATTGACTCACCTTACCAGTTATGAGTCTGTTGAGATTTTCTATTTCTTCAGTATTTAGTATTGTCAGGTTGTATGTTTCTGTGAATTTATCTGTTCTAGGTTAGCCAATTTGTTGTCATGTAATTGTTCATAGTAGTCTCTTTTGTTTGATTATATTCCTGCAGTATCACTTGTGATGTTTCTACTATAATTTTTATTCCTTCTTATAACTGATTTTTTTACATTCCATAAGTTTTAATGTATTGTGTTTCTATTTTCATTTGTTTGAATATAGTTCTTGATTTCTTCTTTAACCCATTGTTCAGGATAATGTTGTTTAAGTTCCACATATTTGTGATATTTTCCAGCTTTCCTTCTATTAATGATTTCTAGTTTCATACCACATAGTTGAAAAAGATCCCTGGTATGTTTTCAGTCTTCTTAAGTGTTAAGAATTTTTTTGTGATCTACATGTGAGAGAGTCCTAGACATGTTCCATGTGTACTTAACAAGAATGTACAGTTGGGGCACCCGGGTGGCTCAGTCAGTTGAGTGTCCAACTTCGGCTCAGGTCATGATCTCACGGTTCATGAGTTCAAGCCCCACATCAGGCTCTGTGCTGACAGCTCAGAGCCTGGAGCCTGCTTCTGATTCTGTGTCTCCCTCTCTCTCTGCCCCATACCCACTCATGCTGTGTCTGTCTCTGTCTTAAAAATAAATAAAAAAAACATTTAAAATTAAAAAAAAGAATGTACAGTTTATTGCTGCAGTTGGATGGCATCTTCTGTGTATGTCTGTTAGGTCTCTTTGGTATCAAGTGCAGTTCAAATCCAACATTTCCTTACTGATTTTCTGTCTGCATAGTCTGTTGATTGTTGATAATAGGATATTGAAGTCCCCTACTATTATAGCATTGCTGTCTATTTCTGCCTTCTGATCTGTATTTGCTTAATATATTTAAGTGCTTGGATATTGGGCACCTATATACTTGTAATTAATTATTCTATCCTCTTGATAAATTAACTATTTTATCATTATACCAGACCTTTCTCTTTTTTGGTTTTTATTTGCATATTTGTAATTGGGTTGCCCTCTTCCAATAAAGTCAGCGTGTATTTCACTAGTGTTTCTTTGCGTTCAGGTTGCTGCTGTGGGGCAGAAGATGCGGAGGCACCCCTTGAACAGAGCATTTCTGTAGGTGTGTCACAGGCCAGTGTGCCCAAGGCAGCTCTGTCTTCCCGGAAGACCCATCCCTGTGAGATGTGTGGTCCGGTCTTGAGAGACGTTTTCCACTTGGCTGAGCACCAGGAGAAGCCAAGTAGCCAGAAACTATTCAAGTATGGGGCATGTGTGAAGCAAATCTATTGCAGTGCAAACCTTCAAGAGCATGAGAAGCAGCACATGAGAGAAAAATCCTTCAGAAGCAGTGTGGACAGGGCCTCATTTGTGAAGAGCAGCAATTTCCATGATTCAGAAAAGCCCTTTACCTATAAGGAGGTTGAGAAGGACTTCCTGACCACCTCAGAACATCTCCAACAACAGGCAGCTCATACTGGAGAGAACAGAATCACCAAGTGTGGGATGACTTTTCAAAGCAAAGAAAGTCATTACACCTGGGAAGAATGCGGTAAAGCCTTTGGTCCCAAACACACACTTGTTCAAGACCAGGGTATCCACACTGGAAGACAGTGTTTTGTGTGTCCTGAATGTGGGAAAACATTCAGGTACAGATCTTCACTTGCTATTCACCAGAGAATCCACACTGGTGACAAGCTTCATGTGTGTAGTGACTGTGGTAAATCATTTACGGGAAGCTCAACCCTCAGTCAACATCGAAGAATTCATACTGGACCAAGGCAGTACAAGTGCAGCAAATGTGGGAAATCTTTTAGCCAAAAATTTGTCCTCCCTTATCCTCAGAGAAGTCACACTGGAGAAAACTGTTACGTGTGTCGTGGCTGTGCTCAATCTGTTAGTCAGAGCTCCATCATTATTCGACAACGTACAATTCACACTGGAGAAATGAGTTATGAGTGCACTGAATGTGAGAAATCATTTCGACGAAAATCCGATCTCATTGAACACTGGAGAGTACACACAGGAGAAAGGCCTTATGAATGTAGTGAATGTGGGAAATCTTTTACTTCTAGCTCTGCCCTCCGTTATCATCAGAGAATTCATACTGGAGAAAAACCTTATAAATGTAGTGAATGCGGAAAGTCTTTTACCTCTAGCTCTGGCCTCCGTTACCATCAGAGAATTCACACAGGAGAAAGGCCATATGAGTGTAATGATTGTGGGAAATCTTTTACCCAAATAAATCACCTCATTATACACCGAAGAGTTCACACAGGAGAAAGGCCTTACGAATGCAGTGAATGTGGGAAATCATTTAGCCACAAATCTTACCTCTCTCAACACCAGAGAGTTCACACGGGAGAAAGGCCTTATGAATGTAGTGAATGTGGAAAATCCTTTACCTCTGGCTCTGCTCTCTGTTATCATCAGAGAGTTCACACTGGAGAAAAACCTTATGAGTGTAGTGAATGTGGGAAATCTTTTACCAATGGACCGATACTTATTCGACACCGTAGAGTTCACACAGGAGAAAGGCCTTACGAGTGCAATGAATGTGGGAAATCCTTTACCCAAAGAAATCACCTCAATATACACCAGAGAGTTCACACAGGAGAAAGGCCTTACGAGTGCAAGGAATGTGGAAAATCCTTTACCTCTGGCTCTGCCCTCCGTTATCATCAAAAAGTTCACATTGGAGAAAGGCCTTACGAGTGCAAAGAATGTGAGAAGTCTTTTACCTCTGCCTCTGCTCTCCGTTGTCATCAGAGAGTTCACACAGGAGAAAGGCCTTTTGACTGCAGCGAATGTGGGAAATCTTTTAGGGATAGTTCCCAATTGAATCAACACCAGAGAGTTCACACTGGAGAAAAGCCTTACGAATGTAGTGACTGTGGGAGATCCTTTAGTCAGAACTCCTATCTCTCTAAACATCGGAGAGTCCACACTGGAGAAAGGCCTTACGAGTGCAGTGAATGTGGGAAATCTTTTACTTCCGTCTCTGCCCTTGGTTATCATCAGAGAGTTCACACTGGAGAAAGGCCTTATGAGTGTAGTGAATGTGGGAAATCTTTTACCAATAGCTCCATACTGATTCGACATCGCAGGGTTCACACAGGAGAAAGGCCTCATGAATGCAGTGAATGTGGAAAATCCTTTACCCAAAGAATTCACCTCATTATTCACCGGAGAGTTCACACAGGAGAAAGGCCTTTTGAGTGCAGTGAATGTGGGAAATCTTTTACCTCTCGTTCTACCCTCCATTATCATCAGAGAGTTCACACAGGAGAGAGGCCTTATGACTGCAATGAATGTGGGAAATCTTTTAGCCGAAAATCAAACCTTTCTCAGCACCAGAGGGTTCACACCGGAGAAAGGCCTTAAATGGGTAAGACGCATACAGTTTCCTTGTTCGGTGTAATGATACCAGAGGCAACTCTTTGTAAGGCACCATTTGCCTGAATTCAATCTACTGCATCTAAATGCCAATAGTAGAGAGTTTTCTCATAAGTTTCAGCTATGTGGCTGAAGCATGTGTGGCTATGTTGCAGTTTCTAAACTGCGGAGGGCTTTCTCGAGATACATTTCACTGCCAGTCTGTGGCCAAAGCTATTTACTCCTCCCCTGGCAAGTCTCTACATCATGCATCAGTCATCACCCCACTGTGCTCAGGGAAGCTGACCTCTGTTCTCATTGCTGGAGGAAATTAGGAGTAACCTGAGTCTCTGGGGGACCCACATTTCCTTCTTTCTGACTAATTGGCATAGACCTGGCCAATGTTGTCCTAGAGAACATCAAATCAGTTCAGCTGGCAGCTTGCAGAGAAGGATGAGCATTTGCAGGGACATGGTCTCCAGAGACATTTGTGATTAATTTTTCCAGCTTCCAAGCCACTCACTCAAGAACTGCTAGCCCCTGTTGCTTTGGTTTGTGCAGTAACAAAGTCCATGTTTAAGTCCTTTTCAATCTTGTGTGTTTTATCTACCATGTGTGGTGGTTTATAAACATTTTGCGATCTACAAACATGAAGGGGTGAACAGCTTTCATTGGGGAGGGTCTCAAATTTCTGTGCCTCAAGGGGACAGTATGGTGGCAGAAATGAGCTTACCAGTTTTTGCCAAATTTGCACTGCCCGTGACCTCCTAGGAAAGACTGCATAGAGATCACCCTGAGGAGGGGCAGGTGTGAGAACCTCAGGTGCTTCTGTGAGCAGCATGATTTTTTTTTTTTTTCACAGGGGATAGCACAGGGGATGTCAGCACTGTTGAGGGACACCTCTTTCCCAGGTCCTGCAAAGAGCCATGTGTCCTGATATCCTGTGTTTTGTCATTGATTGTAAGGCCATAAGGTTCAGGGGAGACCAGAACTGCTATAGAAACACTGACTTAACAGGGAGTGGAGGAGACTGCAGCCAACTAGACAAAATGTGCCTCTTCTAAAAGTGTGCCCACATATACTGCAGCAGAGGCTGTGCAGAGCTGGGGTGTGCGCAAGTCCATGGACCTCCGGGTGGATGGATCTGGTGTAGCTTACATCGTTGCCATTGGAAATAATTGAAAGGTTTTGTGGATTCCTGCAGCCTCTTAGTGATGTTCATCTCAAGACCACTGCTGCACAGGCAGGAAAACAGATCGAGAAAAGGGGGATCTGTAGTCCGGGGATGCGGCTTTTGTGACCCAGCCAGCAGTCCTCTTGACTCTCATGGAGAGTCCTTCGTTGATCGCTGTATTTGCTTTCACAGCAAAACTAGCCTCCACGGGGTGAGACTGTGTGTTGAATGTAGGGTTGCAAAACCTATTTTCCAAAAAGAGTTGGACAAACAGATTTTTTATCTTGAATTATTTAAGAAAGGTTTATTAAGGTATAATTACATGTAATAAACTGTACATATTGGAAATGTAGTCTTTAGTAAGTTTTGACATACTTACAAACCTCAGAAAACATCGTGGTCTTATAGTGATCATATCGGTCATTGTATATTTACCTCATGTCCTTTATCTGCCTTCACAGCACTCCAAGTAACCATTGATTTACTTTCCATTAAAAAAAAAAAACAAAAAAAACCCTCTATTTTCAACGTTTATTTATTTTTGGGACAGAGAGAGACAGAGCATGAACGGGGGAGGGGCAGAGAGAGAGGGAGACACAGAATTGGAAACAGGCTCCAGGCTCTGGGCCATCAGCCCAGAGCCCGACGCGGGGCTCGAACTCACAGAGTGCGAGATCGTGACCTGGCTGAAGTCGGACGCTTAACTGACTGCGCCACCCAGGCGCCCCAAAAACCTCTATTTTCTATGATTTATATAGTGGGAATCAAAGTATTTTTTTTTTTAAGTTTTTAAAATTTTATTTATTTTGAAAGAGAGCAAGGGAGGGAGAGAAACTCACGCAGGCGCTGCCCTGGCAGCGCAGAGCATGATGTAGGGCTTGAACTCACGAACCATGAGGTCATGACCTGAGCCAAAATCAAGTTGTATGTTTAACCAGCTGAGCCACCTAGGTGCCCCCCCCCTTTTTTCCTACTTTTGTGTTGCATAAATAATTGTAGATGCGTCAATGATATATAAGTAGGTAATCTTTTTTTTTTTTTTTTTTTGGCTGAGAAATATTCTTTTGAGTATACCAGTCTTAGTTTACCCATTAATTTGTTTACAGGCATTTGGGTATTTCTAATTTTTGCATATGGAAAATAAAGTTGGTATAAACATTCATGTGTAATTATTTATATGGATATGTGTTTCACTTATTTTTTGTCTGTAACTCAGAGTGGAAAGTCTGAGTCATGGGGTAAATGTTTAACTTAAAGAATTTAGCATATTGTGATGTAAATGGTATACCTTTTTGTACTCTTACCAGCAGTGTATGAGAGTTCCATTTCCTCCACATCCTAGTGAATTGTTTGGTTTGGTCATTCTTAATTTTAATCCTTTTTATAAGTTTATAGTGCAGTCTCAGTGTTTTAACTGCATTTTCCTGAGGAGTCATGATGAGCATTTTTTTCTGATGTGTATTTGCTATCTATATTTTTGCTAAACGGTTCATATCTTCTGCCTATTCTATGAACTTTGGTTATTTTCCTTTTCCAAAAGGATGTGAAACAACAGATGTATGTTGGAATTTCATTTTGTGACTTTTACTTTGTGGGATAATTATTTTTAATACTGAAAGTATATGTTCTCTTGTTTTCAGTTTTTTAATGCTGTGCATAATGGACACACATAAACACTTTTAATCTACATTAATATATTCTCCTTCACTTTCTAAAGTCCAGACATTTAATAATACAATAAAGCCTTGCTTTGTAGTGTCCACCCATTTTCCTGGTCTGTCATTATGGAAGTTGGTAGGCTGGAGCAGGACTCTCGGGGCACCAGGTGGACTCAGGATGGAGAAGGTGTTTTTTGAGTCCTAAAGCCCAACAGAGAGGATATAAGGCACTGATCAGGATCCCTAAGCCCTGGGTTTGAACCCCAGATCCCCAGGACACATTCCCATCTTCTGTGGGCCTCAGGTTCCTCTTGTGTAAAAGGCGTGTAAGGTGTAGGCTGCTCCTGAGCATTTGGAGGTCATTTGCTGTGCAGTGGCACCTGTGGCCTATCTAGCCCTGAGCAACTCCAACTTCTGCCTGCAGTGGCACCCTTGGGCCAGGCAATGTTTCTCCAGTGCCCCAACAGCCCTCTATCCCTTGGTGTGTTTGAGAAAGAAATGGGGCCTTCCAGTACCTGCTAACCTGCCTGCAGGGGAAGCGGGGCTTCACGTGGGAATCTGGGCAACTCGTTATTGCTCCCGGAGTCTCAGCTCCCTGACTGACAGGGAGGCAGTGATGGTGCTTACCTTGGCCCCTGTGAGAATTACTAAGACTCACACCCTGAGCATTTATCAGTGTCAGGACTCGGGGGCTTGCATTGTGAGCATCTCTAGTTATGGCAACCTGAGGAGGTGAGAATGATTTTTGTATTTCCAGAGAAGTCCAGGGTTGGAAAGATGGAGTTGGTTTCTCAAGGTCATATAACAGACAAGTGTCGGATTTGAGAGACTGGATTCAAACCTGAACAACTAGCTCCAGCCCTGGGTGTGTGTAACCCCTGTACCACAGTTCACGAAGCCCTCAGCCCAGGGCAGGTGCATAGCAAGGACCAAGGAGGTGCTGTTGTTGCTGCTGTTCTCCTTGGAATGGTCATGACTGTTTTCCCACTTGTCCTCTGCCCCCACTGTCCTCATGGGGAGGCCATTGTCATCTCCAGTGGCCTTCCCCAGGGAGGGCTTTTCTCTCAGTCACAGTAGCATTATGTACACGACTGCATTAGCCTCCTCCTTGAGCCCAGCACAGAGCTCAAACCTTAAGACACCTTGGTGATTCACGGTTGGGTCTCTCTATCTTTATCAGCAATGGAGTGATAAGTAAGCTCTGATCCCACTCACCAACCCGAAGGTCAATATGATGCCTTAGTTTGACTTCCAGGTGTTTATGACCTTCACTCTGGTGGGCTGGGCACAGCCCAGAGAATCTAGTACCTGGAGGTGATGCTGGAGACCTTTGGACTCCTGGTCTTGCTAGGTAAGGGCTCACCTCCCCAAGCATCATCTCTCTCCCTTGCTGCATCTCTGCTTTTCCCATAGGAGGAAACACTGAGCTCTGGAAAGAGCCGGGTCGCAATGCAGCCTCTGTCTCCCTAGCTGTGTGGCCTTGACACACACACCTGGCCCAATGAAGGCCTGCCGGCAGCTGCTTCTGAGGGTCCGCCATCAGTTATCCTCTTGCTTCTCGGAGTCTGTAACACCGACATGGGACATGGAGAACAAAGTTGTACCAGCAGGCGAACACCAGGCCACTACGGCAGCAGGATGACAGCCAGGGGGTAAAATTGGAGGTTATAAAATCGACAAATATTGGCCATCACTTGCCTTAGAGAGGGTTTGGGAAATCAGAAGAGCACAAGGGAGACTGCAAGGGGTAGTGGAACAGGGATAGAATCAGGTGGCAGAAGCCCCAGGCCCTCCCTGCCCTGCTGCTTCCTGCTGTGTGATAGCCTGTCATCTGCCCGGTGGAGGTTATAACCTATGCCCCGCCTACCTTACGTGGCCATTATGAGAAAGAGGAGATAATGGCTGCCAAAGTACCAAACCGGTATTAGCTTTCATTTTTGCTACAGTTTTTAAGATCTGGTGTCTGACCCAAAGGAGTTCACAAGAAGGGGGGGGAAGGGGGGAGGGGAGAGGGGGAATGGCCAAACTGCTTTCCATCTTGGTTACAGGGTTCTACATCTTCACCACTAGTATTACTGAGAATTTGATGGAAAAGGAAAGAAGCCTCAGTTCTCGCTGCCACAGGAAAAAATTACAGGACAGCAAAATGAACGTAAAGGTGAGCAAAGTGTTACTAAAGTACACTCCAAGGGAGACAAAGCTCCCCCTCCCCCCAGGTGGCCTTCGGTTGGGGCTCTCCATCAGGACATCTAAGGTCCGTCCTCCTGTTGCACATGCCTAGCTTCCTGCCCAACAGTAGCCTATGAATTTCAGTTTCTTTAGATGCTCACCAACCCTTGCTGTAATCGATCTTTTTAGTGTTAGCCATTCTGATATTTGTCTCTTGGATCTCCTTACAAAAATGTGGAGCACAGCACCTGGTAGGCTTCTTTGTCTTTAAGAAGCAACATTTCCTCAACTAGAAACACTTGTCCTATGCCAGAGGATATGGAGGCCATGGACGGGGTCCTGTGGAAAAGAGCTGTGCAGCAGATCGGGCTGTGGTGGGAGCAGTCCTGTCCACTGGGCCACAAAATTGAGCAGACCACCTGGTAGGAAACATGCAGTGTGGGGTTTGAGTAAGAGTCCAAGAAATCACAAGACAGTCCCCCAGGGCTCTGGAGGAAGCCTATGTGTCTGTAGTACAGACTTCTACATCATTTTTACACCATTCTTGTTGAGTCATCGTCTCCAAATAAGAACTGAACAGTGAATAGGGTGTATAAATATCTGTGCATCCAGAACAACCCACTATGAGGAGAGTTCTCTTGGACCAACCAAATTATAAAGTCAAAGGACTCCAGTGTATTTAATTAGAAGGTAGAAATGTGCAGTCAGGATTGAGCCAAATCAGATCTAGAGAACACAACTGGGCTTCATGAGAACCCACCAATGTGGCAATAGCTCACTATAATGGCTGTACTGGGCGTTAAGGGCTTGAGCTTGGGTTCTGCTTGGCTCATTTTGGTTTATGGTTGCAAGTAAAATCAATGGTAGCTGCATCACAGCCATATTCAAGGTGTCCCTGAAAGACAATGAAGAAGCAGCATTTTACCTATGCTTTGGTCTGGCCATCCACTTTGTGTGGAACAATTATTATCCCAAGCTGATAATATATGTAGATTCCAGGTAGTAGCCAGTGATCTGCCCTGGTGAAGAATGAAGAGTGAAGAAGATTGGAAACCAGGGGGTCTGTGGTAGAGACATGCAGATGTACTTACAGAAATGTGCACACAGGAGGGATATTTCTGTCTGGCTTACTAAAATTTACCAACCAATTCAAATAACAATCACATCAATTGTCTTATACTCCAGGCAAGCTCCTGGTCCTGGGACATTGTACTGGCTATTTCTTCTCCATGGGACATCTTCCCCA